AGAATTATAGAAGTATTATATGAAAACACTTACTGTCTTTAAACACTGAAAACATCTAAACAAAACTCTTAAATTAACAGCAGTCGCTGCATTTGTAAATAAGTCCGCAGTATTTAATTTACTGGTGATAAATTCAAGGTCAAACACTCCATCATTTAATAGTCTTCTAATAAAGTGATATTTTACGTCTATGTGCTTCAGCGATTTTCTATTGGCGATCTGAAAAAATCAGTGGCTGACTTGTTATCACAAAATACACTCATGTCCATAATTAAGGATAATGCAAAATCAGGAAAAGGAAGAGTTAAAAGCAAAACAAGTTTGACTTAATTGTAAAGCTTATTTATTAAACAAATGGTAAAGAGCAAAAAACGATGCTATACGTTTGATATTATTAAAAAAAATAGCTATTTTTTATCCCTGGAGAAAATTACAAAAAAAAAAAGTATTTACAAAAAACCAATATTACATGGTTGGTATGATTGTTAATACATTGTATGTCTCCCAGACGATGCAATACAGTCCATACAACGCCTAGGCATGCTGAGTATCAAATTATCGATCTGATCTTGGGGGATATTACACCACTCAAAAAGCAATGCTCTCCAAAGTTCCGGTAGACGTGTAGGAGGAGGTTGAGGGGCTGCAACTCGTCGGCTAAGCATGCCCCACACGTGCTCTGCTGGATTCAAGTCCGGTGAGAATGCTGGCCAGTCCATACAGGTGATATCCTCTGATTGAAGGCATTCGCTTACAATGTTTGCACGGTGAGGACGGGCGTTGTCATCCATAAACACAAATTGTGCCCCCATGGCGCCCCAAAACAAGCGTACATGTTGTTCCAGAATGACGACCCGATAGATTTCGCTTGTCATGGTTCCAATTTGAACATGCAGGTCAGTGCTGGAACCCAGAATAATTCCACCCCAAACGAGTACTCCTGCGCCGCCGTAATGGTGTCGTTCAATGATGTTTTCTTGGTGGTAACGGGTACCTGAAGCTCTCCATATGAAAGTCCAGCGAGAATCAGACTGCAAACTAAACCTGGACCCGTCGGAAAACATCACACAAGCCCACTGTTTCAATGTCCACAATGCATGCTCTCTACTCCAGGCTAACCGCAGGCGACAGTGAGTTGCAGTAAGTGGAACGCATCTGACAGGTCTATGAACATATAGACCAATCTGTCCTAAGCGTCTGTACACGGTCTGCCTTGAAATTGTCGTATCAGTGGCTGACGAGACAGGTCTGAGGCTGTGCTCTGCCTGTTTCTTTTGGCAGTAACTGCCAAATACCGGTCCTCATTCGGCGTTGTAACTTTGTGGCGACCTGTGCTGTAACGTCTACTCACATTACCATCATCTTGGAACCGTTGCCAAAGCCTGGAGATGACACTCTGGGCAATTCCAAGTTCGTCTGATACTTTCAGTTAGGTACGCCCACATTCCAGACGGCCAATAATTCTACCACGTAAAAAATCATCCAATGCGTCTTTTCGGTTTTGCCGAAAGCTTTAACCCGCACATTTACTTTTGCTTATTCCTTATTCGCTTCGTCTCGTCATTTGCTAGATCGGAAGGTGGTTTCTGAATTTTTTTAACGATTCGGTGCTATTACTATTTGAAGGGTATTACACTCTCTAAATTAAACTTTAAAATTTCATCTTGTAAGACATTTTTTCGTCCACATTAATTCCTTCGCTGCTTCAGATAAGGCGATATACTCCGCTTCCATGGTTGATAAACTTACACATTTTTGTTTAACAGTTTTCCAGATTACCGGTACTTCATCTAAATATAATATAAATCCTCCCATGGACACGCGGTCATCTCTATTACTTGCATAATCAGCATCTGAATAACAATATAAATTTAGATGTTTAATCTTCGATAAGTAATTTAGTACTATTGAGATAACCAAGCAATTTCAACAATGCTTCCCAATGCCTAATTCCAGGATTCTCCTGAAATTGTGATAAGATATTCACTGCATATGTAATATCAGGCCTTGTCCTGTTAGCTACAAAAACTAAACATCCTAACAGATTTCTAAAGGGTAATGTATGCATTTCCGCAATTTCTGCACTTGTAGATGGACAATCTAATTTTGTAAGAATAGTGCCTTTAGCTATGGGAAGTGAAGTTATTGGTATCTGGAAATGTTTAAATTTTTCAAAAATTTCTTCGATATATTTTTGCTGATGTATAAAAACCCCATTCTCATTCTCTAAGAATTCAATTCCAAGTAACGTTTTAGTTTTGCCTAATACTTTAAGATCAAAAAACTTACTCAGCTGTGAAATTACTTTATCTATACTATATTGATCTTTACTAAAAATCACAATATCATCTACATATAACAAGAGAATTACATTTGAACCCTTATAAACACAATTACACCATTGTATTTTCTTAAAATGTAGATTTTCTAAAGTACTTTCAAATTCACAAAACCATTCACGGCCGCTTTGATGTAGACCGTAAATGGCCTTGTGTAATAAACACACTTTATTTTCCTCTTCGATAAATAAATCCCTCTGGTTGGGTCATATATATTTTCTCATTTAGGTTTGCATATAAATATGCGTTCTTTACATCTAACTGACAATTAGTCCATCCATATAAACATACCAGTATAGTGAAAAATATTCTTATGATTGAAAAATTTACTACAGGACTGTAAACGTCATCAAAATCTTCACCTCTTTTCTGCCTGAATCCCTGTGCTACTAAACGTGCTTTGTATCTAACCACTTGATTCTTTTCATTTCTTTTTAGCGTATAGACCCATTTGTTTCCTATCATAGTTTTATTTTCTGGCTTTTCGACTAATTCCCAAACCTTTCTTTTCTTCATTGTGTCAATTTCTTCTTTCATTGCCTTATCCCATTCTTCGGCATTTACTGATTTTCGTGCTTCTTTAAAATTTTGTGGGATAACTATTTCTACGGAATTTGCCTCTTCAGACACGGAGCTAGTCTCCTGTTCTACAAAATTAACTTTCCCCGAGTATTCGTTTTTTCCACTAAAATCGAACTTATCTTTTTCAAATTTAATATTTCTTGCCTCACAATACTTTTTCAATATCATTATAGGATCTAAAACGGGTGTCTGTTCCCTCTACATAATAATATATGTCTGTACGTGTTCCATCTGGCCTTTTAACTGCTTTTCTTTGCCAGTTTAAGTCTGATACTTCTTTCGGAGTAGATTTGTCATCTGACAACTTTATTTCTTCTCTAGAAATTTCCTGTTCTTCATCTGATTCTGCTAATAGCTCAGATTCCTCTAGTCTTTTAAATTTAGGTTTTGATTTCTGTTCCAGGATGCCATTTGCTGCATACAGTTTTTTTCATCGAACTTCACATTACAGGTTTCTATTAATCTGCGTTCTTCTGGCAGCCATATCCTATAACCCCTAGTTTCCTTCGCATATCCTACCATGATTCCTTCTTTGCACCTCATTTGTAATTTATTTCTAATCTGTTTTGGCACGCCAACATAGGCTTTACAACCAAATATTTAAAATAAACAACACTGGGTTTTCTATTTAGGAACATTTCATAAGGGGTTCGGTTGCTTTTATGACATACTCTGTTCCACGTATGTACGAAACAGCCAAGAGCTTCTGCCCACCATTCTTTTCCCATTTTACCATCATTAAGCATAGCTTTAACTGCGTCTAATGCCGTTCGGTTAAAACGTTCACACACACCGTTCTCTTCTGGGGTGTACGCGTTTGTGCGTTCAACACTAATTCCATTTTCGGCTAAGTACCCTTCGAATTGCCTGTTACAGAATTCCCCTGTTCGTTGTTTTAAAGTTGCTTGCCTGAAAAGGGGCTTGAAGAAACTTGCATTTTTAACCTTGAGTCGAGGGTATGCGCTCACTGTCGTATCAAATACGGGCAGCTCGATACGCTCTTGTTTTTCGAGAAGTGAGATGCTGCTGTTGGGATTACTTTTGCAATATTAAAGCATTGAGGTTCAGTAGCATTTGTTTTATAGGAATTGGAAATTGTTTTCATGTTTTTACCAAGTGTTATACTGAATAATTACGAAATAACCCATGCCAAGTTCTGATTCATTTGAAAGTGACTATTATGAGAAGTGATAATGAAGAGTGTAGTAATGACCTTGAAAGTGATAGTGGAAGTGACATCATCATTCGTTCTAAGAGATTACGAGTTATTAGTGATAGCAGCGATGATGATGATGAAGTAACTGCAAAGTACCTCCGATTACGATATTATTGATGAGTTTCTACCCGTGGATACAATTTTTTTCGAACGAATCGAATACTTTTTCTGAAATAGCCTGGACCAAAGCATTCCCCTCCTCCTGATGCAAAACCAATTGAATATTTCAATTTTTTTTTTTTTTTTTTTTTTTTCCAAGTATACTAACCAACAGCGTCGTCTTCGCATTCTCGATACAAAACAAGAGAAGCGCTATCGCGCTGCTTCGTATTTTTGGCATACGAGAAGTGAAGCGTGCGCCGGGCTCAAACGGTTAAAAGTCATTAACCCATAACAGCATGTATTCACTGCATCATCATTTGAAGTAATATTTGAATAAGTTTGGGCAAATACTTATTCAAATATTACTTCAAATGGATAGCATTTCAATGGAAGAAAAATAGATATGTCTTATTAACACAAATTCATATTTTACAATTTCACAGTGATTGTTTGCCTAAGTTCAGCCCTAATAAACTTTGTAGGTATACTTTATATGTGAAGTTTTAGCCCATGTAAGCTTTAGATCAGAAAGACCTTTGTTCACAAATTACTTTTATTTCGCTTATTTATTTACTATTGAAGTCTTAGTATTTTGGACAATTTATGTATTTGATTAATAAAACCATTTTGAGATCAGTATAGAATTATCAAAACTAAACGGAGGCAAACTTTTGAGATCAATATAGAATTATGAAAAATAAATGGAGGCAAACAGTTATTTTATTTGTATGAATGATTCACATTTTTCTCTTTAATTTCAGGAAAGGAAATTAGCCAAGTTTGATCATGATGTAAGTAAACTTTGGTACAAGATTTCCACAAAAGGAGCAGACATTCTGTACGATGAAGATGGAAATCTGAAGAATTTCTGATTAGTCATGAAATTTTTTCTGAGAGCAAAAGAAAATCAGATCTGTTGCTTTTAACATGCAAGTTTTGAGTATGAAGTTAAGATTTCATTTGTGAATGTTTTAAAGTTGGGTCAATGATAATGTTTCTGGGTTGCTCAAGATATTTTATTTGGCTCAATTGAAGCCATAATTGGGAAATTTTTGAAATTCTGTAAAGCATTATTTTATAACTGCTGGAAAAGTACTTAATGGAACTCTATGGAAAAAATATGTATTACTGTTCAGTTTTTATTTTTTTAAACAGTCTTATTTTGAAATTATATGTCAATAAATTTAGGTGAAAAGAGAGGCAATCAGGCATTTTAAGATGTGGCACTAATTTGTACATTTGACCTCAGCTGCTTATATAATGCATAGTTCATGCAATTAACATGAAATCTTTTTAATTTTGCAAAAAATTGTTTTAGCACCATTTCATTAGAATACTATATGCAGCTCCTCTGTTAAAATTTTACATTATTCTCTGTAGAAAGTACACAATACTATTCAATTTTTATTTTTTAAAATTTAGTCTTGTTTCAGAGTTCTGATGCTGCTGTCTTAGCGAATTAAGGTGAAAAAAAGCTGTCAAATTTAGCTCATTTGATATACTCTTGTACTGTAAAGAGTCTTAAATAAATATAATTAAAAATTTAGTATAAAAATATATGCTAAATAAGTATCACTGAGCTATATCAAATATGTTGAGATCTGACACTTAAAATTTAAAGTGCAATTCGATGCAGTAAGGAAATTTAGTAACAAACTTTAAACAAGAAATGTTCTATGCATTTCAAGAGAATATGACGTATGACCCTCCTTGTAAAATATTTTGCAGCATCATGATAAATTCCATCTTTTTATTATGAAATGAAAATAAATAGATTCCGATAATTGCAGCCTCATCTGTTAGCCTTCTGAGATTCACAGCAATTTCCTCCCCTCCCCATCCATTAATGCACAAAGAGTTGGGAAGAATTCAAATGACATCCTTTCTGATTTCTAAAAAATAAAGATAAGGAACCACAAATAAATCCTTTTAGGACAAGCTGTCTTCAATAAACTGATACAGAACATTTTGGAAATCTATACCTGCTACTGCATACCTTAGGGGCAGAGAAGAAAACAATATTGCAATTTTGGCTGCTTTGTGCAGTTGGGATTGTTTGAATGAAAGGCCGTCTTAGGCGTTTTGGTCTTGAAAGAGTTAATAAATCAACAGTCATTATATAGCGAGTGAAAATTTAAAAGGGTAATTTCAAAGGAATTAAAATCTAGCATTTTACTAGATAGTTTTCAATTTAATTGGACTAAGATGCTAGGTTCAGTAAGCTTCTACAAATGTAAGAAAATGCGAATTAAGAAAACTTAACCGAGTGCAATAAATAATTGTCATTATAAATGTCTTAGCTACTAAGAAAAAGTTGCTATTGTATGTTTGAATATAAGCAAAATGAGCTAGAAATTAATAAAAGCAAAATTGTTTTAAAGTTTTAATTTTTGATAGGCTAGGATTTAAATTAAAATCAGTGCCTAAAGTTGAGGCTTTAAGAAAATTTAATTTACTGGAGAAGCATTTTTTATACAATTTTAGATGAAGAAAAATTATTAATACAATGATTTAAAAAAAGTATTGTACTATGAAGTGAAATTTTAAGGATAACCGAGGAAGCAAATTTAATGGTTTTACTTAAAACCTAAGTAATTAATTTAAGTAAGACATTAAACATAAAATGCTGTTAATGAATTGATTCCTCATGTGTCATAATATGCAAATTAGGACTGTATCAGCAAAATGCATAGGATTGGATTATATTGTTATATGAATTTATATTGAGCACTCTGGAAAACATTACTTTTGCATTTCTTCTGTTAAGATGTTATGTATTGTAAAACATTTCTTGTTATTTTTATATTTTGTATTAGTCTTATTTTTAATTTTTCATACTGCTGCCTGGAAATTTAAACTACAAAAATGCTGAAATGGAAAGATAATACGAATTTTTGCATTTGATCTTATGCTTCCATTATGCTATATGCATATTTTGTAAGTCAAGAAGTTAGTATATATGAAATATTTTTGTGTTAAAATTTATTTTCTATTTCCATAGAAAAATACTTTCGAATTTTTTCGAGATTTTACATTATTCATTGTAAAAAGTGTGTTATACACTTTTTTTTTTTTTTTTTTTTTTTTTTTTAAGTTAAGTCTAATGTCAGTGATGATAAAAGTTCATAAACGTTTTAAGATGTGCAGTATTTTGCACTTTTGAAATTCTTCTATACTGTAAGGATGTGTGAAAATAATAAATTAACTTCCTTGTAATTTTCCCTTCTTAGTGATTGTCCATTATATCTGTGAGTGATTTCAGTCAAGTTAGAAGAAATACATACCAGTGTAAAATTTTAAAGAAGGCAAAAACAGCAAGTTTTGAATAAAACGTAATTGATTTTAAGGGTTATCTGACATAGCATTTTTCAGGAAGAGGGTGAAAATTCTGCAAAATGGGAATAATGGCCGAATTCATATTGAAAGAAATGATCTAGCCAAAGTGAACATAAACGTTATGCCATCTGTTGGGAAAAAGTGTAATGAAAAATTAAGGTATTTAGAATTCTGAATGTTTTCTGGTAACACGCTCGGCAATATTTGACTTAAGGCCTGTAGGGAGTTACCTTAAATGTGTAATTTCCAGTTCCTTGAATATCTTCTCAAAAACGCTACTTACAAACTGCAGTCTATTGTCAGATATTTTTAATGGTAATCTGTAGTTAAAAATATACCTCATTAAAAGCACAAGTAGCAAAGCAACGTCTTAACGGCGTTGCAAACACGTCGCGGATGTCGGTTCAAAAGTGGTTCAATACGTCGTCTTTAAGACGCCCAGATGTCTGCGAACATCCATTGTTTTGCAAACGTGGCAAAGACGTCTTTATTACGTTTTTGCAGATGAGGTTTTTGTCACATAGACATCGTTATTGCGTCTTTCACAGGTGATATTTAGGTTATGAAAGCAGCCTATCACGATGTCTTAAAGACACCTAAATGTTTGCCAAATTCCACCTTTTTGCAACAGTTGTGAAAATGTCGTTATTATGTCCTTGTGTTACATATTGATTTATGCAGGAAAATAAGCTTAATAATTAATATATTTTCTTCTTTTTTAAAATTGTATTTATCTAAAGTTTAAATATTTTATCATTTCCTGAAAACCAGAAGATAATACAGTTTTTTTCTCTTTAGACTAAATATGCATAATTAATAATAGCCTTAATTATTTTCAGTACTTTAAAACTATATTTTTTAAATAACTTAAATTCTAAGTTACAATTATTTAAGATTTCATCATTTTTTTCCCTTAAGCGAGAGTAATTATGAAAGTGGTTATTATAAATATATAACATTAATAGTACGTTTTAAGTAAATAAAACTCAATTAGACATAAATAAAAGTAAAGATACATATGTGGGTTAAAAAAAAAGAGTGTTTCTGATAAATTATCACATTTATTTCTGTTAAATCTCAAAGGCATTGAAAATTGCTCCTGTCGTGATAAATTAAGAAGCGGTTCTTAAGGTAACATAATCAGTATTTTACCTGAAGTCAAGTATAAATTTATTCGAGTTTCACAGTAAAAAATATAACCATTAACTTCTATATCTCCAAGATATGGAAATGAAAGACACTATAAAGTAGTTAATAAATGCGATCAAAAATATACCTAAATCTAATAACTTCCCATATTCATATCTAAAATGAAATAATAACCTAACAAACAACATACGTGACAGCAATATTTAATATGTTGAGTACCACTCGTATGTCTTAGGCAATCCCGTTCAGGCCATGCGCTTCGCTTAAAAGCGCTGGTATTGTAGGGCCAGTGATTCGTATCGCGGTAGAAGATTGCAACAAGTTGTGAAAAAGAAGACATTCCGTCAAACAAAAATGCAAGAATATTTAGAAAACGACAACATAAACTCCAATAAAAACCGAGAAAAGCCTCTGAAGTACGAAAATATTGTAAATTATGTTATGATAAAAACGCAACAGAAGCTGGTAGAGTAATGGCCAGAAAAAAAGACTAAAAAAGAATGTTGTCACATTTTGTAATAGCTGTAATGGAGAACTGTTTTTATGTTTACCGTGTTTCAATGAAATCCAATGAATCAAAATTAAGTAAATTTTAAATAAATTTTGTGTAATTTCATAAAATAGTGTAAATTTTATAGTTATATATCATGTTACACACTGTCAGCCAGCGGGGGTTGAGGCGGCCTAAAGAAAAAGGTCTAGTGTCAGCCACAAATGGCTGACGCGACTTAACGGAAAGATTAGCGCAGCCACAGATGGCTAACGCGGCCTAAACAGAAAATATAGTGTCAGCCAAGGATAGCTGATGCGGCCTGAACAGAAAATCTAGTGTGAGCCACAGATGGCTCACGCGACCTAAACCGAAAATCTAGTGTCAGCCACAGATGGCTGACGCGGCCTAAACGAAAAATCTAGTGTCAGCCACAGATGGCTAACGCGGCCTAAACGGAAAATCTAGTGTCAGCCACAGATGGCTGACGTGGCACTCAACGTGTTAAGAAAAACATAAACTAGTAGTGTTTGAAAGTATAAATAGCAGAAGGAAGGAAACAGAAATACATTTCCAATTAATAAAAAAAAAATTGTGTTAGTAAGCAATTAAAAGTGCAATAATTATGGATTGCAGTATTTACTAGTAATGCTGATGTTTCTTAACACTATTTCTTTCGATCATGTAAATTATTTACTTTACTGTCAAAGTCTTAATCGGACACCATAAAGATTCTATTTTTCAAGCTACAAATTTCTGCGCATGCGTCAACGAATAATGCGTTCACGCTGTTGGAAGTGGTGATAAAGGCAAAGTATATTTTGCTTCCTTTAAAAAGCTAAGACTAATCTAAATAAAATTCATGCTTTATTCCGTAAATTAAAATAAAAGAGCTAACACTGTAGCCTTTACATTTAAAATCATTTGATTGAAAGCAAACTAGCATTATGCTAACTCATAATAACACAAGAGAACAAGAACATTCGCCGATACCGGCGTACATATATATAATACTCGGCCAACCCGCCGATCTTGACGTCATCGGCCAATCAGCGGCAACCACGTTAGCTTACCGCCGATTGACCTCCGATCAAAATTTGCATGTGGAAAAAAAAGCCAACAAACGGCCCTCTTTTCCCCATGCAAAGACAAAAACAAAACTTTCACAGAAGTTCATAGTTCAATTCTATTATACGAAAACACTTATTGTCTTTAAACACTGAAAACATCTAAACAAAACTTTCTTAAATTAACAGCAGTCGCTGCTTTTGTAAATAAGTCGGCAGTATTTAATTTACTGGTGATAAATTCAAGGTCAAACACTCCATCATTTACTAGTCTTCTAACAAAGTGATATTTTACGTCTATGTGCTTAGTTCGGCGATTTTCTATTGGCGATCTAGAAAAATCAATGGCAGACTTGTTATCACAAAATAGTTTACACTCTCTTAAATTAAACTTTAAAATTTCATCTTGTAAGACATTTTTCGTCCACATTAATTCCTTCGCTGCAGATAAGGCGATATACTCCGCTTCCATGGTTGATAAACTTACACATTTTGTTTAACAGTTTTCCACCGGTACTTCATAATTATAAAAACACAATTACACCATTGTAATTTTCTTAAAATGTAGATTTTCTAAAGTACTTTCAAATTCACAAAACCATTCACGGCCGCTTTGATGTAGAGGCCGTAAATTGTCTAATAAATTTTAAATTTTACACACACACTTTATTTTCCTCTTCAATAAATCCCTCTGGTTGGGTCATATATATTTTCTCATTTAGGTTTGCATATAAATATGCGTTCTTTACATCTAACTGACAATTAGTCCATCCATATAAACATACCAGTATAGTGAAAAATATTCTTATGATTGAAAAATTTACTACAGGACTGTAAACGTCATCAAAATCTTCACCTCTTTTCTGCCTGAATCCCTGTGCTACTAAGCGTGCTTTGTATCTAACCACTTGATTCTTTTCATTTCTTTTTAGCGTATAGACCCATTTGTTTCCTATTATAGTTTTATTTTCTGGCTTTTCGACTAATTCCCAAACCTTTCTTTTCTTTATTGTGTCGATTTCTTCTTTCATTGCCTTATCCCATTCTTCGGCATTTACTGATTTTCGTGCTTCTTTAAAATTTTGTGGGATAACTATTTCTACGGAATTTGCCTCTTCAGACACGGAGCTAGTCTCCTGTTCTACAAAATTAACTTTCCCCGAGTATTCGTTTTTTCCACTAAAATCGAACTTATCTTTTTCATATTTAATATTTCTTGCCTCACAATACTTTTCAATATCATTATAGGATCTAAAACGGGTGTGTCTGTTCCCTCTACATAATAATATATGTCTGTACGTGTTCCATCTGGCCTTTTAACTGCTTTTCTTTGCCAGTTTAAGTCTGATACTTCTTTCGGAGTAGATTTGTCATCTGACAACTTTATTTCTTCTCTAGAAATTTCCTGTTCTTCATCTGATTCTGCTAATAGCTCAGATTCCTCTAGTCTTTTAAATTTAGGTTTTGATTTCTGTTCCAGGATGCCATTTGCTGCATACAGTTTTTCATCGAACTTCACATTACAGGTTTCTATTAATCTTGCGTTCTTCTGGCAGCCATATCCTATAACCCCTAGTTTCCTTCGCATATCCTACCATGATTCCTTCTTTGCACCTCATTTGTAATTTATTTCTAATCTGTTTTGGCACGCCAACATAGGCTTTACAACCAAATATTTTAAAATAAACAACACTGGGTTTTCTATTTAGGAACATTTCATAAGGGGTTCGGTTGCTTTTATGACATACTCTGTTCCACGTATGTACGAAACAGCCAAGAGCTTCTGCCCACCATTCTTTTCCCATTTTACCATCATTAAGCATAGCTTTAACTGCGTCTAATGCCGTTCGGTTAAAACGTTCACACACACCGTTCTCTTCTGGGGTGTACGCGTTCAACACTAATTCCATTTTCGGCTAAGTACCCTTCGAATTGCCTGTTACAGAATTCCCCACCATTATCGGTGCGTATACTTATTAATTTTCTATTCGTCAGTCTTTCCATTTGCCTATGATAATTCTTAAAGTTGTAGAACGATTCATTTTTCATACAATACACTGTTACTAATCTACTATAGTCATCTACAATAGCAAGGAAAATATTTACTCCCACCCTTAGATGGAACTGGTAGTGGGCCACAAACGTCTAAACAATGGTTTATCCGATCTCTTCGG